TAGAGTTTTTATCCAATCAGATTTTCCACCCGTGCTGTCTCCGCCTCTCCGGGGGAAAAATCTACCCCGAGGCCTTCAGAATGTCGAGTGAATCCCCTCTGCTGTTGAATCAAATTAAAACGATGTTCTCACGACGTTTCGACCATAACTCAAACGGTCATCTTCAGGTGTGTTGGTTTGCATACATTTATTTTTAAACGGCGCATTTATTTATTTATAAAAAAACGTTAGCGCCGTTTAAAAATACATTTATGCAAACCAACACACCTGAAGATGACCGTTTGAGTTATGGTCGAAACGTCGTGAGAATTTTTTATTGTTTTATATATATTTTATTATTTTGTTGTTTCTCTTCAACGTGACTTTACCGAAAAAACTAAGAATATGAATTACTGCAGTCACGAAAGCTTTAAATCAAAATTTGAAAACGATGTTGTTGATTGTCATATTCTTTAACCAATCAGATTTCGAGTTTGCCTTGTTCGCTGTGTTCTTTGACACGCCAGAGCCTTCTAGCTGGCCTCGCCGCCTACATCATAATTTTTCGCGTGGCGTGATCGGAGGGCCAGTTAGCTAACTGAACTATTTGTGATGCAGCATCCTGTCATAATGCGTAATAGTGGAATATCGTTGATGGTTTCAGTCACGATGTATTCATGTCTCTGCAATTAGTGTATTGTAACTCTCATAGGCGTTGAGCTTCGTGTTAAATCACTTTATTCCATTCAATAAAGGTTACTATCACTGTGAATATGGGGTGGTTACGTCAAATGACAATAGTCTATAGCCCAAGTGACATGGGGAGGTTATTCGAAGGCGGTTTAATTGTGGGAGGACAGCACTGAAGGCCTGGGTGTAAAATACACAGCCCGCCACTGTTTAAACGTTCCCAGAGATGGGCTCACCATCCTTATACTGCATCTTGAGTAAATGCGTTCCCTTTTGTTGGCAAGACTCAATAGTGTCAATGGCTCGTATAAAAACTCAGTTTGAGTTCAGCATCAAAATCCACGACGATCACCACACTCAGCAACCACCGACAAGTTGTGGTGAGATAAGGGGATCAGCAATGCATCTGTTCCACACCAGGTGGGTGCAATACAAAGCAGCCACCCAAGCTGCCTGGCATCCTTTGACACTTATCATACAAGTTATGAGCCATTCTCCACCCAAAGTTGGGTGATTGCGCGTTGTGATCTCACACTGCTACTTCTAAATGGCCTTAAATTTACGTGGAAATTTCCATAAATGTAACTTATGGCCATCTTTTGAATCCTTTCCAATTACAGTTGAAATCATTCATATATTTGCCCTGTTAATCTGTCTGTAATGGTGCAGTAATGGTAACTGTAGTAAAGAGGATCCAATAAAATTGAAACTTTTAAGTTTGGGTGTGTTGTTAGGCACTTCATCTAGAGAATAGCAGCCAAATGGATCAAACCGTTGTCCAAAACTTGGCAACGAGAAAGCAGAGCTCGAGGGATTTCTATTTCCTGGCAAACGCTTTGCCATCATTACACGTGGCAATGTAAGAAGATGTCACATGGCATGTACTCGCCTCTTCCCCCAATATGTGATGTCATATCATACCATCAGGCACCATTCGACATCGCTGTGCGGTTTGGAACACAAGATCGTTATTGCTACTTAAAAACTATTGAGAACCATCACGTGCTGGGAAGTTTTACACAATCCATGCCTATGTATTATTTTTCTACCTTGTATTGTTTTATATATACAACTAGATTACTTTATGGGTTCCACATAAGCGTGTGTATCTGAACACACAGAAGTATCACAGTGCTAGAAATTAGACTTCAGTACCTTGGGATAACTTTTTTTTGTCCATTATTATCGGTATCCACGGCATCTTCTTTAAATCTTACAGTTGCAGCATCTGCAGGGTCACGGGAATGTGTGCAGAGTCTTTGTGGTAGGGTGACTTTTGCCAATCGGCAGTTCTCTAAAGGTAGAAGCTTCACAGTCGAACTACATCCAGTGAATGCAATTCCATTTGCCTGCCAGAGGCAAACGGCAGTGGCATTTAGGTGGGCAGGTGCAGTTCCTGCTGCAAACAAAAGGTGAATGTGACGTTCGGCAAGAATTTAGGAGAAATCCTCAACACCACACTATCGGCAAGGAAGGAAGTCCATGGTTTAGAGGATTAGCCAACAGCACCTGAAGCTCCTCGATCCTCCTGACTGACATAATGGAAACCAGAAAGAGAACCTTCAGCTTCAACAGGCGCTCCGAAATCCTGGTCATTGGCTCAAATGACGGTCTTGTTAGAGCACGAACCGCAGATCCACGGAGTGACGGATACTGAATACCGGAGCGACGAACACCAGAGTGACGGATACCGAATACCAGTGACAGATACCGGATACCAGATGCCGGATTGACATACCAGAGTGACGGATACCAGAGTGATGAATACAGGAGTGATGGATACAGGAGTGATGGATACAGGAGTGATGGATACAGGAGTGATGGATACCGGAGTGATGGATACAGGAGTGATGGATACCGGAGTGATGGATACTGGATACTGGCGAGGATGTGCAGAGGTTAACGTCCATTGGTATAACCTTCCATTGCAGCTGTTCAAATACCCCGGAGTTGAGAGTCCACTCTCCGGGGCAAGTCATCCTCGGCTTAGTGTGTCCAATACGACATTTTCCATCCCAGCCTGCGGAAACTTCTGTCATGACACGGCCCAGTACAGCAGTTCTTCTGCCTCCATCAGTGCAGTAGTGGAACCATGGGGACTCCTGACAGATAATGTGTTGCTGCACCGGGTCAGGAAGGATTTCCGATAGGACTGCTCATTAAAGTGCCACATGGCGAGGTAAATGGCACAGAGCTGGAGAAAGTTGATCTTCCCCTTCGTGCGAGGAGGCCATTTGCCCTGCACCGGAATTCTGTGCAAGTGGGCGTCCCAGCCCCACGCACTGGCGTTGGTTTTCAACATCAAGTCCGGGGCTGCATCCCCCAGGGAAAGAGCCCCCTGCGCGTTTGAAGGGCTCGTTTACCATGGCAAGCTGTCAGTAGCCTGACTGGCAATCTTCACCCTCTGATCGAGGCTGCTGTGTTTGGGATCCCAGCAGAGACATAAGGTCCCACCGCAGAGGTCTCATGCGCAGAATTGCCCACGGTGGTCGATGCCACATGCTGGATCGATCTGAGCTTGATCCCTCGTGCTGCCTGCGCGCGACTACAATGACGCGTATGTTGCCATGGCGACTGAGTGTTCGATCGCTGCAAGATGGCGATTCCCGCCAGTGAGCATCACTGGCGGGAATCGCCATCTAACCCCGGGCACGCTCCCATGATGCACTGCGATCGCTACCTGGGACCCCCGCTGTGGCGGTATAGCCTGAGACTCGACTCAACGACTCAGAGGGTAGAACGCAGCCCCACAAGTTGGTGAAGCGGTGCCTCCACTCTCATCTTTCAAGAGGGAGCAGCTTGTTGCAACAAAGGAGACAAATCGTGTATGAAACCCAGACAAGCAAAGCATTGCTCGAGGGTGTCCCTTATCATGAGCTCTGCGTTGCATTTACAACACTTCGAACAGCGTTTCGCCAACATCAGAGTATTTATTTAGTTATTTCTAAAATGGCTACAGACAAACACTTAATTAGAGCAGCCGAGAGATAGCAATTTTACTTTAAAAGTATACAAAAGGGGGAAAAAGGAGAAAGTATATACAGATTTTGCTCCAAATATGCTCCCGGCTCTATTCTGTCATAATATCCTACCCAATTTGGCCTCTTTAATCTATATTTTGTATATTGGGCATGGCTTAATTAAGCCCCTAGGCTCCCACTCCTCGTGAGTGCAAAAATTAAGTGATGCACTATGGGTAAAGAGATATGGGACAGGAAGTGGGGAGATCGGGCACTAAGTACTCACACCAATGCCTTCTCTGCACACCTGTGCATGGACTTGTGGGAACTGCTAACGTGAGGTTACAGGAAGACGCTGAGGACACCAACAAAGATCCAGAAAAAGTACAGCACTGGAGGGGTGGTGGGGGGGGGGGTTCTAGTGCAGCGTGGGAACTCATGTCCAGGGAGCCACGCACGTGCAACACGGCATCAAACCCAGACGTGACGGTATCCACGGTGACGGTATCTAACAATAAACATTTTCAGAGTATTGGCAGCATTTGTAATACGGTACTGAAAGAAAGAATGCTATGTTTGGCACTAATGGAAGTTTTTAAATGTGCTTATGATGGGAAGCTTGAGTGGGATTTGTAAGCTGTGCTGCATTAGTTCACAGCATGAATACAAATAATACATTTACAACAATAATGTAATTTATTCATCCAATGAAAGCCAAACCGAGTCTCAAGAAACAATTTCAGGGGATACCTGCATTGGGCTGCTTGGCCAATTCCATGTAAGAGCATTTTGAGCGTGTGCTCACAAAATCTCCTTGCTAAGCTACCTCTCAGCTCAGCAGGTGTTGGAGGTTTACAAAACTGCATGGGACATCAACCATCATAATGTCAATAGTGCTGGATTACAAGCAGGAGCCACCACACCCAGCTGGAGAGACCAGCCAAAGCTATGTGGCTGATAACGAGTTAGCTACATCAACTATGTGGCTGCACTACACCATTCATCATGGGTCCATGTTTCTTGGCAGAAAGAGTCATAGTTTAAGACTATGCATGCAAGTGCGATGTACTTTAAAAGTAAGTTGTACGAGTGAACTTTTACTACAGGAAATGTATTTAATTTAATATGGATATAGGTTTGTGCACAGTGTTTTTATTTCTTCTGGAATGCATTGTTTTTGCTCTGATTTCTATTTGCCTCGTTGTTGTACTTTGATTTACGTAATTGCGTTCGTCACATTGGAGACCCAGAACACTCTTCCAAGTGAGACTCCTCCTGGTCGAGCTTTCGCCTGGTTTAGCAAAATAAACCCATAGTTTAAGAGAGGGGCTGTGCCTCAAGGGCGGTGGGGGGCGTCTTGCGCACGCTTACATTCGCCAGCGAGTGTGGGAGGCGTGCCGGGGAGCTGTGGTCGCTGGCCGTCACCGGGCGCACGCCGTCGGACGACGTCGTAATCTCCGACACAAGCGACGAACGGCGCGAATGCCCCACGCTGACCATGCCTGGGCAGTGAGAAGTGCAATACCACTATGTTAGCACCGTACACAGCACCAGCACAGCACATTAGCACCGTACACAGCACAGTACACAGGACGTCAGCACAGCACGTCAACACAGTACATAGCACCCGCAGCACAGCAGCAACACAGAACGTTAGCACCGTACACAGCACGTTAGCACAGCACGTCAGCACCGTACACAGCACAGCAGCAACAGAGCACGTCAGCAGAGTACATAGCACCAGCACAACACGTCAGCACAGCACACGTGGCTACACATGGTGTAGTTAAGAACACATTAATTTATCGTGAATATTACACTTGTTTACCCAGGAAAGGCTTGCAGAGTCTGAAGACCCTTGTTCAGGAGGGTCCAACAAGGTAGGCAATTTTTGCTCAAGCAGTTTTGCACCACAAAATGCTGAATAATTTGTAACGCGTGCATCTTTTTGCACAGAGGTGCGGAAAACCAGAGCAAATGGGAAGGCAGCCAGAACCGGTGCCCAAGCTCTACATAGTGGGTTTCCTCCAGGTACTCTGGTTTCCTCCAACACGTATTAACCCTCATTAATGGGGTTGGCCAAACACTTCAATATGGCACCACAAAGCTTGGAAAATTGTTGGTAGTGCTGCTTGTGGCTGCCTTCCCGCTCGTTTGCCGTTTCCCGCGGCTCCGTGCAAAAACCATGCGCGTCATAAATTCTCCGGGTGGTTTGAGATACCGTAGCCATGTCGCACAAACGATGTACGATACATAAAAAAAAATGTCATCGTGATCATCAGCTGTGAACGCTAGGGCACCCACCTTTCCTGTCCATGGTGGAGGCGCCCTGCGCGGTGGTCGCCGGGTGCTGGGGGTAGTGTCCCGACTGGGCTGCCGCGGCCACGTGCTGCGTACTGTTCTGCAGGCTCTTACGGATCGCTGCCGTGACCGTCTCGTGTGGCAGGGGCCACTCCGGGGAGTCCCCCGAGTCGGACGACGTCACGAGGGACTGCCGCTTGGACGAGTCCCTGCTCGCGGCCACCAGGGACTGCCTGGCCTGGAGGGACGATGACGAGCGCAACGTCACCCACCGTAACTGCCATGTGACTTGCTTGCTGACAAACCAGAGTCAACCGCTAGTTTTTACAACCCAACCCAAAACCTAACCTAAATATAAACAAATCTGCTCTAAAACTAAAAAATAAAAGGTTCAGTTGCCAGTTTAAATTGGTTCAAAATGTTTTTTTAGAAGAACTGTTCGTACGCCAGGGGACACATTTGCTGCGGTCCATGGTGTGGTTGCTGTCCGGTCGAGCCAACAGCTCGCGATGTGAAGACAGCAGAGTTAACTCCCTGGCTGGAGGTGACTTGGCTCACAATCGCTTTGTACCACTTCGTGGGAAAGTCAAGCATATAAGCACTGTAGATATACTGTACTCGCCACCGTTATGGGAATGTGGAATTTCCACCAGGGCTGTAAACAGGAGATGAGCACGACTATCTCAATGCTCACTGGAGTCGGAAATAACTTTGAATCAACCATAGAGTTGTCATCCTTATTACTGAAATATACCAAACTAAATTTATTATAGTGGGATATTTTCGTGCAGTCATTGTTGACAACACAAAGGAAATAAATATCTCCAGGAACAGCGAAAGCACAGGGCACGAACTGTAGCAGTTGTAACCAAGGACCCACGGGCACGGTTCCGGAATCTGAGCAGTCAGGGTGCTCCCTCTCTGATGGAAATCATGGGTCAGGCACCGCTAAGTTGGGGCTAAAACTCATTTTGTTTTACGCGTAGAAATGTCAGCTCCAAGCAGAAAGGTGACAAGCGCAAAATTGTTCCGTTCACTCAAACCAAAGGAATTTCACCGAGTTCAGCATGGCCATCACATAAATAGCGAAGCATGCAATGTATTAAGTCCGGTGAGGATTTGTCGACAACTTGTCAGCAACCAAACACGTAGAATGCTTGCACTAAAACACTACAAATTATTAAATAAAAAAAACTCAAGCATGCCTATTCAGCGCCGCACATGAATAATTATTTAACACCACGAATTGCTTTGAGTTCCTTTTTTCCCCCTGTAACCCTCATTATATGCATACACAAAATAAAATACATTTGCTACAAATAGTCTACTATTTATCTAATAATACAAATTTAATTCAAGCAGAGATTATGAAAAATGATTAAATGTAGATTAAACTGTGTATTGCTGCTGTGATGAATGAATGGAGCCAGCTTATACTGTATTCCTTACTTAACTAATGATCTTGTGAGAGGCCAACGTTCACGCTGATTAATTAATCAGCAGCTGTGTAAATACCCCCACTTGTCTGAATTTTCACGATGGCCCTGCATTGTATGTATGTTGGACTTCTTTTGCACTGTACGTAACCAACCGTGCTTCTGGTGTTTGTGCTGAGCACGCTGTGTTCAATATGCACTGTCTACACTTCCCCTCTTGTCGTGTGACCAGCTGTGTACCCCCCCCCCCCCAACTCCTGCATGGACCAGATGCTCTCTGGGAGAGCGTGCCACCGTACATGCGTAGATTTCTGGAATTTCTGAGACACCAGATAGACTTCACTCGTTATAATAATTTCAACTTATAACGTGCACAGCATTCACTCACTCTCAAAGAGAGAGAACGACTCCGAGACACGAGGAATCGCAGGCAAGCAGGAAAGCAGCCACGCAGTGAGTTGGTGCCAACAATTGCCCAAGCTCTGTGATCCTCAATATATTACAATGTTATCGGCCAATTAATGAGTGTTTAAATGTGGGAGGAAACTGGAGCCCCCGGAGTAAACCCACGTGTGCAAGGAAGAAACACTGCATCCCATACAGACAGAACAGGTGGAGATTTTTTTCTGTACCGCATTCATCTGACGAGCTCGCGGAAAGGACATTTCAAAACATTTCTGCAGTGATCCACCAAGCTTCGCTGCTGCCTCCAGTGCTGGACTACAGGCCACAAGCATAGCCACCACCGCCAAGGTACGGTATTGCATAACGTGGCACAGCAAGTGGCTTTTATAGCGCACTTATATAATTCTCAACACTAGATGATACGCAACACAACAATCATTCGAGTCATTGTGGATAGAAGTCGATAAGGACACAACTCGCCATCTTCTCATATTTGTTGCTCCATGTAAAAAAGTACTTTTAACACATCCCATCAGCCACACGGCCTTCAGGGAGTGCATTGGTTCAATATCTCAGCAGTCAGGCTTGCTTGAACCAATGCAAGTGAACTGCCAGATGTTTATAAACAAGAACCATTTCTGAAGGGATATCTAAAGAATCCTTACATTTGTTTCACGTGGCGGGACAGCTATGGGATATAGGCACAGGTGTCCGCTTATTGATGTTCTCCACGCTAGGGGGCAACGCATCCACAACTATTCCCATCTTACCACATCTTCCCTTGTTCGTAATCCATGTTCAAATAATTCAGTCAACCACGCTGCATCACAGAATATTTTAAAATATACTTTTCAATAAGGCCACACGATTTAATACTCTTCATCTTGGATTGAGTTGTTTGAATCTAGCCTGTTAGGGTTGGGGAAGCACACAAACAAGTAGCCATTTGAACCGAGTACGGACCATCAGAGCACACAGAAACCACAACGTACTCCACGGACTCTCACCACGGTTCACTGCTCACACGAGCGTTGAAGCAGTGCTCCTCTCCTATTTACAGCCCTGAGCCAGTGCTGGGAACTCCACATTCTTATGCCTAATGTAGAATTTCCACCACTGGCTCAAGGCTGTAAGTAGATGAGCACCAACTCAATACTCACTGAAGCAGGAATTCAATGCCTTTTCATACTGCAGGAGTGGGGCAAGGTACAGGCATGAAACGTAGTACCAAATCGGTAGTCTTGGTGTGATTCTGACTTGTAGTACACATAACTACTGGTGTATGTTAATTTATGTCTTTGTTTTGCTTTCGTGTGTGTGTTAAATCAAAGCTTACATTGGTAGCGGAGGCTCTGCTTCCATTGTGAAGAAACTGGTAATACACACACACGTACAGCAGCAGTATTTAATACACACATATACAGCAGCAGCAGCAGCATGTAATATTAAGGTATCGTGAAATAAACAAGGTAAACTTCACGTGAACCGGGCAGCGATGATCGAGGATGCATGCAAGGAGACGACGTGGTGACGACGTGGTGACGACGTGGTGAGACGTGGTGACGACGTGGTGATTAATCGCGCGTGTGCTCCCACGTGTCCACGTGCACACACAAACTCTCACAAAGGGCTGGCCTGGACATCCCGAGCAGGGCTTTGTCCTGGAAACTTAACTCTTACTCGATGCTGAATGTTTAAAATAACAGCAGCAACTGCAAAGTAACAATAATAATAATCACAGCATTAAATTTTGATTTAAAGCTTTCGTGACTGCAGGGATTCATATTCTTGGTTCTTTCGGTAAAGTTACGTAGAAGGGAAACAATAAAATAATAAAAATATAAAACAATAAAATTCTCACGACGTTTCGATTGCAACACAAGCAATCATCATCAGGTGTGAAAACCACAGCAAAAAAATTTTACATTTGAAATTTTCTTGCTGTGAAAGCCACAGCAAGAAAATTTTACATTTGAAATTTTCTTGCTGTGGTTTTCACACCTGATGATGACTGCTTGTGTTGCAGTCGAAACATCGTGAGAATTTTATTGTTTTATATTTTTATTATTTTGTTTCCCTTCTACGTGACTTTACCGAAAGAACCAAGAATATGAATCACAGCATTGTTGTGTTTGTTGTTGTATTATATTCCTGCATAGGGCAGCACAGCCAGGTTTCCGCTTCCAAGCTTGTGTACTGCATCTATTGACAAATAAAAATATCTTGCATCATTTTTGCCACTACGTATAGCTTACAGGTTGGATAACGCAGCCATGCTCTTTTCAGTTTAAACGGTGCAAACAACGTAGAAATAATGGTGGTCAGCAACGTTCACAAAATGTGTCAACTTCTAACGCGGGAAGTTGTGTAACGCGGGTAGAAGTGTAACGCGGGTAAATTGTGTAACGAAGGAGTTATTTGTGTCCACGGACCGCCGCGTTATAACGGGCTTGAAATACAACATTGTTCAATGTGGTGTTGTATCTGATGTAATAGTTAGGTGGCTTTGCACCATTTTTAACATTACAGTGGAAAATAGCAACAAATTTAGTTTTTGGGCCTTCTAAGTAATTTTAATAAAATTCAGGTTTACGAGCCCTCGTGAACTTTTCCAAGTATCCAAGAATGACACTGAAATCCAAGCTGGCAGATATTGATGATAATAACAGTGTATCACTCACTCTCTCTGAATAGTAATCTACACAGTCAAACCACATGGTGCAATGCACCCAAAAACATGCATCTTCTGACTCTGAGGAACCTCAAGCATTCCTTGCAGCAGTTGGCCTTTCAGTTTGGTCTTGTTGACAAGTTTCTTGAAGCATTGGAAGCGAGTCACATACAGAGAGTGATGGTCAGATAGCTTGGGCAGGGGAGCTCTAGAATCCTCAACATGTTCGATGTATCTGGTGCCCTCTACAAATGCTCCGGACTGAGTCAGGTTTTCAAATGTTCTTGATGGTTCTTGTTTTAATTCCCTAGCGTGACTTCAATACTTATTTCTCACTTTTACCCGGCAATATAAAATTTTATTTCCCTTTTATTTCAATTAGGCCTCTTACAGAATATCTACACAAAAGATAAGCATAGTACTCTTTGTTTTTTCAGTAAAGTCATGTAGGTAAAATAAAAAATATAATAAAAGAAAACAACTAAATTAAATCACGAAGTTTCGGAGGCAACACAAGCTTCCGTATTCAGGTGGAACAGACACAACAAATTTTGCTGTATCAAGTGAACAGCTCTGGGACACCCGAGCTTATATACAGGTTAAGGGGGGGGGCAGGAAGAGACGTGGGTGGGGAGGGATAAGTTATGCCGCCTTTTGTTATGCTGCAGGGGGTTCGGGGAGAACGATGGCGTGCTGCACGAGAGCAAGCACCATCCTGGTAGAAACGGAAACGGCTGTACAATTATCAGCCAGCTAACGTTTGACTTGGTTGATGACATCTTTCCAAAAGTTGCTCAATTTGAAACCATCCTCTCAGTTGAAGTTGTGTCTATGTTTGTATATCTGGATGGCTTCATGGACAGATCTTTGGTAATAACCGGGAGGTTTGCATAGTACTTTGGTATCAGAGAAAATAATGTCATGAGAACCCGCTGTGTTGAAACAATGATCAGCCACGGTCGAAGAATTTGTTCTGCCGTGTTTCAAATCTGATTTGTGCTCGCTAATTCGGTCAGAAATATGTCGTTTCGTCTCCCCGATATAGCAATCACCACAGGTACAACTCAATTTGTAAACACCGGGGTACTGTAGAGAGAATTTGTGAAGATCACCCTTGTCATTTTCTTATTCACAGAAGATGCACTTTTAAATGTTAAATGACTGGCATTTACTGGCCTTACTGGATCCTAAACAGCATGATTTATGACGGCAAGCATGATGGGTGGCAAAATTGTCTACGCTTTCACCACTTTCAAAACAAAGCTTAACGGGAAGGGCATCGATGGCCCAGATCTGTGCTATATTTGTCAAGAATGATGTGTGGACATCTTTATTGTCACTCATTGGAGGGGTGTTCAAGTGGCATTTCAAAGGTTCAGCAGTGTCTTGCTGTCCAAAGAACGCAACAATTGCAGTCTAAATCAATCGTGTGTCACCATGGTGAAAACATTCACAACTTATATACAAACAAGAATGGACACACAAGAAACAAGTCTACTCATTTCTGTCACTGAAAAAAATATTATACAATGGAGTGTATTAAATGTGCAGCTCTGGCTCACTTCTTATCACTCTTACAAGATGGATTACACCGCTTAATCTTGCTTGAGGCTCTTCAGAGTCATAATAACATTGTTTAACTGCATGCACCATGTGGCTTTACTGTGTAGTGTCAGTATTCAAAGAGCAATTTAGTGATAAACTATAACTTTACCATCAATATCGGGCACCATCTTGGATTTCAGTGCATATTTGGATACTAGACAACATGCAGGAGAGCCCCGAACCTGAATTTGAATATAATGACTTGAAAGACCCACAAAAGCAGGTTGGTAATTATGTCCACCCAGTAACAGTAATTCTCCTAAGCCACCTACAGATGTGTTTTACATTTGCATCGTCTTGGTCCGTTTTAGAGTTGAATGATGGACTAAGGTATGTCTGTGTATCAGAGTGCATGTGTACGTGTGTGTGTGTGGGGAGTGGTAATGTATCGGTGAGCGTGCTGCGTTACGAGCCCGGCAACCCGAGTTAGATTTCCACTCACGGCCAACACCAGTGACAATTAAACGAACCCGTCCTGGGCCTCCCCTAGGTCGACTCAACCTCAAATTAGTACCTTGTGAGGTATGTAAAAATTGCCACTTGGGAGACAAAGGTAGCTGGACATGGTGCTGGCCACTCACCACCCCATATGCCATACCGGCCTTCATAGGTGCTCACTAACAGCACTTGCCCCAACAGTCTGGTAAGGCTATATACGGGGGATCCTTGTGTGCGAGCGGTACCATCGTGAGCTCCGCTTCGAGCTCTTTGATGCGGTTGTCCCGCGCGTCGAGTTGCGCGCGCAGCGCGAGCGAGCGGTCCGTAGTCTCCCGAGCGCGTCTCAAGATCTCCCACTTCTCACGATCCGAGCTCTCCCGCTCCACAATCAAGGCCCGAGTGGCTTCCTCATTCTCCTGCCACAATAAATAAAGAGTCAGCCAATAACGCCTCCTTCCCATGTCTGTTCCTCCACATGAAAATATAAGTATTTTGTACATATATTGGCTGTACAATGGGAAATTAGGTACTAAACTGGGTTGTGATCAGACGTTTACAGGAAAGAGGCCACGCAAACCTTGCGGTGTAGCTCATAGTTGCGGATGAAAGTGCGCAGTTGGTCCTCCTTCTCGTCCAGAGTGCTGTACAGCTGCTTCATCTGGCTCACCAAGTCGCCCTTCTCCTCACGCAGCCTCCGCCGGTCCGCCTTCATGGCTGCACAAACAGGAGCAGCGTCGGCCATGGCTGAGGCAAAAACTCAACAGTCATCAATGCCACTGCGGCTTTAGAAATAAAAATATATAATAGGCAACGTTTCAGGCAAAGGCCCTTCTTGCCATTGTCAGAAAGGCAATTGCTTCAAAACGTCGCCGATTATAAATCACAGCGTCATTGACGACTGTGGTGAGCATTCGCAATGTGTCCTTGTGCAACACTGCCAATGCAGCATCAACAAATAATGTTTAATTATGGCTGAGACAACCTAGTGTGCCTACTGATTGGCGTAAAATTCACAGAAACAGTAAACATAGCAATAGCAGAGCGATGAGCAGGAGACTGACTGCCGCTGAGCGAGTGACCAGAGTCATAAATCATCCCGACTGCTCTGCTCTCGACTCTACCCGGCGCTGCGAGGTAAGAACCGGGTGCCCCACCCCAGTTATGCCACCCGTAATGACTGACAACCACTGAAATTGTCTGAAATCCACTATTTTAATTGCTATGATTCTAATCACCATTTCTGGAATTAATCATGTGAATTGGGGCTATTAATGTAGTCATATAACCACAGGACATAGAATATGGTAAATTAAAAGTAAACAATCTTCATTGTATCAATATGGAATGTGAACATTCAAAAAGACACAAAGTTCAAGTGTACAATGTTGTCATGTTTTCAAGTTTTAATACAATGCCTGGTGTTTTAAAATGTGGCTCAGCGGGACAGCAAACAGCTCACAATCGCACCATAACGAGAATTCAAATCCTGATTAGGAGTTGCTTCAGCCCATCATCCCTCCAGGGACAAAAAAGTGAGAACCACTTTGTGGCGAAGTCAACAGTGGTTGTTCTATAGACTCGCCCCCGCCATGAAATGTGGAATTTCCACCACTAGCTCAGGGCTGTAAATAATCGATGAGCACCAATGCCTCAATGTTCACTAGAGTAGGAAATTATGGACTGTTGTTGGCCTGTTAGGGGACAGGAGGCTGTGGAATTATTCTCCAGGTCTGAATCATTTTTTCTGCCATGTCCAATGCAAGCTCTGCAGGTTTTCATTGACCTCCGCAACTCTTTATGTAACCTTCCGTTAGCCACGTGCCGCTGTAGGTCAATGCACCCATTTCGATGTCCGTGCATGCCCAAGGAGAACTCTGGATGTTGAACCATAATCGGTCAACCAGTAATAATTTTCTGAAGATTGATGATTTCAAAAGTCAGCAATCGGTAATCAATTCACGTTGAATATTAGTACGTGTGAAAATGTTTTCTTAAGAAGAATGATAATCGGCAACAATGCAGCTCTGCAATTACTTGCTCACACCACTGCTGGGTATTTGGTCTCTTTGTTGACCAGACGCGACTTGCCAATCAACATAACCAGTGTATCCAATTATCCTGCTGGCTGGAGAGAGGCAGCGAGTAATTTGAAAAACTTATCGAATCGGTGACCTCTGGATTGCAAGCCCATCCAGTGCCCTAGCCATTATTGCCCAGGCAGCCACGTTTGTCTCCAATTCTAAAAGGTGAACCGTTTTACGTTTGTTGCTGGAGAAATTTGTCCCTGGCTTTTTTCCCACGCGACTTTCAAGCGAAATATGATTTCAGCAACAAAGCCGCTCCGTGCGCCGCTCGCCACGCGCTTTACCTTGCAGCGCCTCCTTGGCCCGCGCGAGTTCGTTCTCCTTCTGCGTGAGCTGCACCACGAGCTGCGTGCCGGGCAGCGCGAGGGCCACAGGCTCCACGGGGGAGCCCCCCCCTCGCGGTGGGGGGTACTGCTCGCACGGCGGGACCACTCCTCGACAGTCCTCGAGCTCGGCAAGCAGCAACCGGTTGACCTCCTCACTCCTGGCGATCTCCACTCGCAAACGCTCCACCTCCTTTTGAAGGTACACTGCGAAGAGACGCACCATGCAGCACCACCGCTCACAGTGATCACCTCGCATGGCCTTCGAGACCTTGCAGCTGCACGGAGGGCAGGAATCGTACGTATACGGGCGTGGCTTATGTACGTCCCATCTGAGAACAACAAAGCAAATGTACTCGCTTTATGGTGTTAGAGCCCCAAGCTAGTGGTGGGCCTCTACATTCCTACGGTGGGGCTGAGTTAATCCACAGGACAACCATTAAACCATTGATGTCCTCACAATGTGGTACCTACTTGATCGACCACAGATGGATGATTGGCTGTGTCAATACTAAACAGGATTTGAACTTGCAACCTTCCAAATGCGAGCCAATTGCTGTACTACTGAGCCACCTGGCTGGCTGAGAACAGTTATAGTGGCAATGTTTTGCCTACTCTGCACAAGTTCCGTGGTCCTGTGGAAGGCAGCAATGACGTAGAAAACCTGTGATATTTCCAATGCTGCTGTGTTCACTTATCCTGCGTGTGCCAATACCTGAGAGAGAGGAAGTTTGGAGTATTAGTCCGAATCTACCTCAACTGGAAACATTGACGGTGCTGACACTACTTCACCTACATCATGAGACCTCTTTTGCCAGTACCAATATATAATAGGGTTATATTCTTAGTTTTTTCGGTAAAGTCACGTTGAAGAGAAACAACAAAATAAAAAACTAAGAATATGAATTACTGCAGTCACGAAAGCTTTAAATCAAAATATATAATAGGGTTTTTCCCCTTTTTTCTGGCAACAAAACTGAAACCTTTTGACGAGGATTCATGTCTGCATTAACCACAATACCTGCAGTCAAAATGCAAACAAAAAACATACTATGATAATACAGTGAGGGAAAAAAGTATTTGATCCCCTCCTGATTTTGTACGTTTGCCCACTGACAAAGAAATGATCAGTCTATAATTTTAATGGTAGGTTTATTTGAAAAGTGAGAGACAGAAAAACAACAAAAATCCTGAAAAACGCATGTCAAAAATGTTATAAATTGATTTGCATTTTAATGAGGGAAATAAGTATTTAACCCCCTCTCAATCAGAAAGATTTCTGGCTCCCAGGTTTCTTTTATACAGGTAACGAGCTGAGATTAGGAGCACACTCTTAAAGGGAGTGCTCCTAATCTCAGCTTGTTACCTGTATAAAAGACACCTGTCCACAGAAACAATCAATCAATCAGATTCCAAACTCTCCACCATGGCCAAGACCAAAGAGCTCTCCAAGGATGTCAGGGACAAGATTGTAGACCTACACAAGGCTGGAATGGGCTGCAAGACCATTGCCAAGCAGCTTGGTGAGAAGGTGACAACAGTTGGTGCGAATATTCGCAAATGGAAGAAACACAAAAGAACTGTCAATCTCCCTCAGCCTGGGGCTCCATGCAAGATCTCACCTCGTGGAGTTGCAATGATCATGAGAATGGTGAGGAATCAGCCCAGAACGACACGGAGGTATCCTGTCATTGATCTCAAGGCAGCTGGGCACATAGTCACCAAGAAAACAATTGGTAATACACTACGCCGTGAAGGACTGAAATCCTGCAGCGCCCGCAAGGTTCCCCTGCTCAAGACAGCACATATACATGCCCGTCTGAAGTTTGCCAATAAACATCTGAATGATTCAGAGGACAACTGGGTGAAAGTGTTGTGGTCAGATGAGACCAAAATGGAGCTCTTTGGCATCAACTCAACTCGCCGTGTTCGGAGGAGGAGGAATGCTGCCTATGACCCCAAGAATACCATCCCCACCGTCAAACATGCAGGTGGAAACATTATGCTTTGGGGGTGTTTTTCTGCTAAGGGGACAGGACAACTTCACCGCATCAAAGGGACGATGGACGGGGCCCATGTACCGTCAAATCTTGGGTGAGAACCTCCTTCCCTCAGCCAGGGCATTGAAAATGGGTCGTGGATGGGTATTCCAGCATGACAATGACCCATAACACATGGCCAAGGCAACAAAGGAGTGGCTCAAGAAGAAGCACATTAAGGTCCTGGAGTGGCCTAGCCAGTCTCCAGACCTTAATCCCATAGAAAATCTGTGGAGGGAGCTGAAGGTTCGAGTTGCCAAACGTCAGCCTCGAAACCTTAATGACTTGGAGAAGATCTGCAAAGAGTAGTGGGACAAAATCCCTCCTGAGATGTGTGCAAACCTGGTGGCCAACTACAAGAAACGTCTGACCTCTGTGATTGCCAACAAGGGTTTTGCCACCAAGTACTAAGTCATGTTTTGCAGGGGTCAAATACTTATTTCCCTCATTACAATGCAAATAAATGCATAACATTTTTGACATGCATTTATCTGCATTTTTTTGTTGTTTTTCTGTCTCTCACTTTTCAAATAAACCTACCATTAAAATTATAGACTGATCATTTCTTTGTCAGTGGGCAAACGTACAAAATCAGCAGGGGATCAAATACTTTTTTCCCTCACTGTATATGCATTTCGATTTAAAGCTTTCGTGACTGCAAGGATTCATCTTCTTTGGTTCTTTCGGTAAAGTCCCGTAGAATGAGAATAAAATAATAAAATACAATAAGACAATAAAATTCTCACGACGTTTCGGCCACAACACAAGTAGCCTTCTTCAGGTGAAAGAACAGAACTGTCGGGACGACAGTGCTTTAATGAGTGCTGCTAAGATTCGTAGCATCTTTTAAGCTCGGTGAGAGGTGTGAAGCGCCTTGACAAAGGAGTTTACATATCAAAGCAGGGGAATTTAGCATTGAAATAACTGAGGGATTAGCTTGTGACAGAAATAGCTATGTTAAAGTCAAAGTTTACATATCAACAGAGGAATTTAGTATATGGACGCTAAAGGCCTCCAACCATCCAACTATCATACAGTAAACCGATGTGAAAAAACTAAGTCTATATTACATCAATATGTAATATATTCTTCAATAAGCTGAGCTATTAATCACAAAGCAACTGGGTATACACTACACTATATAACGAATACCATATAGCAAACCAATAAAAAAACTTAAATATAAACTACCTCAATGTTATCAATAAACTCTATCTACTCTCCAATCAGCTGAACAACCAACAATAAGTCGTTAAATTTTGATTTAAAGCTTTCGTGACTGCAGTAATTCATATTCTTAGTTCTTTCGGTAAAGTCACGTTGAAGGGAAACAACAAAATAATAAAATATATATAAAACAATAAAAATTCTCACGACGTTTTGACCATAACACAAACGGTCGTCTTCAGGTGTGTTGGTTTGCATACATTTATTTTTAAACGGTGTATTTATTTATTTATAAAAACGTTAGCGCCACGCGCAGCGATTTGGCAGTTTATTTAGGACTAGTCCATCTATATTCTGAAAAGAGGAGGGGGGAGACGACATTTTTTTTTATAATGTATGCTGTCTGAAAGCAACTGTAAGCGTGAACAATCAATTAAGACCTGAAATGGTTTATCAAATCTTTCCAATGATTGCTAAGATAGAATCCATCTTCTCGGTTGAAATGATCTCTGTGCTTGTATATGTGGATAGCCTCATGAACGAATCTCTCATGGTAGCCAGATGGCTTACAAAGAACCTCTGTCTTGGAAAAGTCAATGGCATGTGAGCCTACAGAATTATAACAATGATCTGCCACGGTCGAGGTGTTGATCCTACCGTGTTTAAGGTCTGCTTTGTGTTCACGAATGCGGCCCGAGACATGGCGTTTGGCAACTTAGTTTGTACACACCAGGATACTGTATGTCCGGAATCACATCTTTTACAGACGGAACCAGATCACGGATTTTATGTAATGTGTTGAAACGGACCTGGATCTTGTGTTTATTCAAGATTTTGGAGATCTTTTTTGTGATCCCCGCAATGTAGGGTAAAGTGATGGTTTTGAAAGGCTCCTCAAGAGGGTCCTTCTTCATGGTTTGAGTGATAGCTTTGCGGATTGTATAGTCGGAGTAACCATTAGCCTTAAGAGCTTGGTGTACGTGCTTGAGTTCACTGCCTATGTGTTCCTGGTCGGATATGCATTGGGCTCTATGATACAGAGTCTTGATGAGAGAATTCTTCTGTGATGGATGGTGGTGGGAATCCGGTTTCAGATAAGCATCCGTATGGGTAGCTTTCCTGTAGACAGAGTGGCTCATTGAACCATCAGGTCTCTTTTTAATTAGGACATCCAAAAAAGGTAGCTTGCCATCTATTTCGACTTCCATGGTAAATCTGATGGCTGGGTGTATGGAATTGATGTGGTCGAAGAATTGGTCTAGAGCAGGCCGGCCATGTGGCCAGATGACAAAAGTGTCATCCACGTACCTCTTCCATAAGGTTGGGCGCAGAGTGGCAGTCTGGATGGCGTCAGTCTCAAATTTCTCCATGAAAATGTTAGCTATAACCGGAGTTGTTTCCCTTCAACGTGTTGTTTCCCTTCAACGTGACTTTACCGAAAGAACTAAGATTATAATAAGTCGTTATATATCACAATGCCATATGGCGAAAAATGGCGGTTTTCTTCCCCTCAACGCTAGCACCACGGACAGCGACGAGCCCCGTTCAGACGGACGAGTCAATCCATGCTGTATGATAGTTGGGTAGTTGGAGGCCTTTAGCGTCCATATACTAAATTCCTCTGTTGATATGTAAACTTTGACTTTAACATAGCTATTTCTGTCACACGCTAATCCCTCAGCTATTTCAATGCTAAATTATCCCGCTTTGATATGTAAACTCCTTTGTCAAGGCGCTTCACGCCTCTCACCGAGCTTAAAAGACGCTACGAATCTTAGCAACGCTCATTGAAGCACTGTCGTCCCGACAATTCTGTTCTTTCACCTGAAGAAGGCTACTTGTGTTGTGGCCGAAACGTCGTGAGAATTTTATTGTCTTATTTTATTTTATTATTTTATTCTCATTCTACGTGACTTTACCGAAAGAACCAAAGAAGATGTATATGGATTGTGCTTGAAACTTATTGGTCCACACCAAGGGACAGCTTTCTTTTGAGCCTCG